TCGCCGGTGACGCCGCTCCGAACCCGTAGCGGTGGCGTGCTAACCACGACCGTGGTCGCCGCCGCAACAAGTAGCAGCTCCAGTTCATCTGGATCGGCCACGGACCGGGCCTTGGCGGTGTCCAACTCGCAGTTTGTCAAAAGAACAAAATGTGAAACTGATTCATTCAACTTGATGATCAGTGTGTCACAAGGGCCGAGTATATATCTACAAAACGGATCGGAAAATACAAGGAAAGGAAATAAAGAGAATCCCTAAAAGACTACTAATGACCCTCCTACCAAAAATACATGATACACCAAATAATACATTAACACCCCCCCTCAAGTTGGAGCATGCGGATTTCGGATGCCCAACTTGCCAAGAAAAGTATCAAATTCGCGCTTGCCCAAGGTCTTGGTGAAAATGTCCGCCAATTGAGAGGGAGGACACATGAGTGGCAGCAATGAGGCCTTGAACAAGAGCATCCCGAACAAAATGACAATCGACCTCAATATGCTTGGTGCGCTCATAGAAAATGGGATTAGCAGCAATGTGGAGTGCTGCTTGACTGTCACAATGTATCCGCATGGGCTGATGATGAGCCACACCAAGACTGCGAAGTAAACCCAACAGCCATTTCAACTCACAAGTAAGAGTAGCCATAGCCCGGTACTCAGCATCGGCAGAAGACCGAGCGACGGTATGTTGCTTCTTGGTGCGCCAAGAAAGCGGAGAATGACCAAGTTGTACAAACCAACCCGTGAGAGACCGTCGTGTAGTAGGACATGTCGCCCAGTCAGAGTCACACCAACCATAGACTTGTAAGTCACAGTCGGAACGAAGAACAATACCCTGACCAGGGGTACCCTTCAAATAACGAACCACCCGAAGGGCGGCATCCCAATGGGCCAGACGAGGCTGCTGCATAAACTGAGACAAGGTATGAACGGCGTAGGATAAATCAGGCCGAGTGACCGTCAAGTAGATTAAGCGCCCTATGAGGCGACGACAACGCTCGGGGTCAGAGAACAGAGGGCCATCCGCCAAAGAAAGTTGGTGGTTCTGTTCCATAGGGAACTCAGCAGGTTTGCCACCAAGTAGGCCAGTCTCAGATATGATATCAAGAGTATATTTTCGTTGACACAGAAACATGCCTGAAGCATTCCTAGCAACCTCAATACCCAGAAAATACATCAACACACCCAAATCCTTCATATGAAAACATCGACCCAAATAATCTTTAAAGGCAGCGATAGCGACGGGATCACTCCCAGAAATGATCAGGTCATCAACGTAAACCAAAACATGTAAACTCAGTGAGTCCGATGAAGAACAAATAGGGAATAATCAGAATAAGATTGTTGAAAACCATACTGTCGTAGAGCAGAAGTAAGCTTCGCAAACCAACACCGAGGAGCTTGCTTTAGATCATAAAGAGATCGACGTAAACGACACACCTTCTCAGGATCAGGCGAATGAAAACCGAGAGGAAGCCTCATGTAGACTTCCTCGGTCAGATCACCATGTAAGAACGCGTTGTGCACGTCCATTTGATGAACCTCCCAATGACGTGCAGTTGCGACGGCGAGAAAAGTCCTCACAGTAACTATCTTGGCGACAGGAGCGAATGTCTCCTGATAGTCAATCCCTTCCACCTGCCGGTTACCCAAGACAACCAAACGCGCCTTATAGCGCTCAACAGAACCATCTGAATTATATTTAATCTTATAAATCCACTTGCAACCAATCGCGTGTTTTCCAATAGGGAGAGGTACAATATCCCAGGTGTGGTTCGTTTCTAATGCCCGAATCTCCAGTTGCATGGCCGAACGCCAGCGACTATCTCTAACGGCCTCCGAAAAGGTTTGTGGTTCAACAGCAGAAGAGACGGCTGCCAAAAATGACTGATGTGCAGGTGAAAAAGAATCACAAGAAACATAGTGGGTGATAGGATAAGGTGTACCAGACAGTGATGGTGACTCGTCGGAGGAGGCAGAGTGAGGGGACTTGGAACAAATAGTGTGTGAGACAAAATCAGCAAGATGGGAAGAAGGTCTCTTGATACGATGACCACGCCCGAGTACCTCCTCTTGCGAAGGATTGCCCCCCTTATCAGTAGTGGCCTCAGAATCCCTAATATCAACGGGAGGTGCCGGAACAGCAACCACGACTTCAGTATCATCGTCAGAGACAATAGGCCATGGAGCCACAGGTATAGAAGCATCATCTGAAATAGGGGATGTCAAATAGGGGAACTCGGATTCACAGAATTTCACATCACGGGACACCAGAAAAGTGTGGCTATCCAAATCATAAACACACCACCCTTTCTTGCCAGATGGATAGCCAACAAAGACACATCGTCGACTCCGGCTTGCAAATTTATCACCGTCCTTATTCTGATTGTGCACGTAACACAAGCATCCAAAGACTCGCAAATGTGCATAGTTAGGAGGTTCTCCATACAAAACTTCGTAGGGAGTCTTGCCGGATAAAAGAGAAGTAGGCGTTCGATTAGTCAAATACCCAGCAACAAGTACACAATGCCCCCAAAATTCAATCGGCAAATGAGCCTGAAAGCGCAATGCCCGAGCAATATTAAGAATGTGTCGATGTTTGCTCTCAGCACGCCCGTTCTGTTGAGGGTACCGACACAAGAAGTTTCATGAATAATGCCTTGTTGACGGAAATAGTCACGCATACAAGTAAATTCAGTCCCATTATCAGTGCGGAGAGTTTTAATCAACAAACCGAATTGTCGCTTAACAAAGGCAAAAAAATTCAGCAAAATAGAGGACACCGAAGATTTGTCATCCAATAAGAAAATCCAAGTACCATGAGAATAGTCATCAACAATAGTTAAGAAATATCGAGCACCACTGAATGCAGGAACTCTATAAGGCCCCCACACATCACAATGAATAAGACTGAAAAGGGAACTGCTAACACTGCGACTAAGAGGAAAACTAGGCCGAGATTGTTTTATCCGAGAGAAAACATCACATGTTTTATTCGAGATCAAAGAGCGAGGATCGACAAAAGACAATTGACCAAGAACAGTAGAAGACGGATGCCCCATCCGCCGTTGCCACAACTGCTGCGAAGGCAAAGACACTCGAGAGGCGTTGGCAGCTATTGCCCCTCGAAAAAAATAGAGTCCCCCAACTGCTCACCCGCTCCAATCACCGTCCTCGAAGTGAGGTCCTGAATAACACAATATTTATCAGTAAAGGTAGCAACACAACCAGATTTTTCCAATAACCGAGATAGAGATATAAGGCTGCACTGAAGACTGTCAACAAACAGGACATCATATAAAATAATACGAGAACCAAGATGGACAGTTCCAGCTTTGCACGCCGTGGTAAGCGTGCCATTAGGTAACTGTACCGATCGGGGCGTAATGTCACGGATATCAGAAAAAAATTCCAAGAAACCCGTCATATGGTGTGAAGCACCACTATCGTACATCCACTCAAAAGGACTACGCTTACCGGATAAAGGAGTAGTGGTCCGGGCGGAAGTGACAAGATGAACAATGGACTCCCACTGGGCATCAGTTAAGCCTGAAATGGCGGCCCTATCAGAGTCAGTCAAAGAGGACGATGTCCCACCATGTGCGGAACCAGAGGAACTAAGTGCACCCGCATTTCTGAAGGCAGCATTGACATGAGCGGGACCACCTCGGTTGACAGTAGTTGATCCATCACCGCGTCCACGACCGTTTCGGCCCCCGACGTGAGCACCGACACCCCCTCCGCGACCTGCGCCTGTTCCCCACCAATCGAGATAGCCGATGACTTCAAAGCAAGAAGCCGCAAGATGGCCCATCTTTCCACAATGAAGGCACTGACGAGCAAACTTTTTACCACTGGCGGCAAGTCGGGTACCATGAGAAGGAGGTGCGGCGCCTAGTAGGCCCGTTGGTGTCATACGGACCGCAAAGCCAGCAACATCCATAGGATTGGAGTCCTGTAGAGCTGTCCGCATCCTCTCTTCGCGCACCATAGTTGCATATGCCCGGTTGAGATTCGGCAGCGGGTCAAGAGCTAATATATGAGAACGTGGGGCGCTATACAAGTTACCGTCCAAGCCCATCAGGAATTGATGCACTTTCTCAGCTTCACGCCGACTGTCCCACTTTGATTTGAGATCACACTCACATTTGCCGCAGCTACACACCGGGGCCTTATCGTATTCCGACAAATCATCCCACAATTTCGTTAAACGCCCATAATATTGTTCAATTGAACCTCCTTTTCGTTTGCAATTGGAAAGATCAGACTTTAATTGTTGAATACGAGGGCCATTAGCAGTTGTAAATCGCTCAGCCAGAGACAACCATAAATCGCGAGCATAATCCGGTTCAGTGATTGTAGACCGTACCTGGGGTTCGATGCTATTCATGATCCAAGAAACCAAGAGAGAATTATTGGCGATCCAATCAAAAAGGTCTTCATTGTTGGCCGGTCGGGGAAGAGAACCATCGAGAAACCCAAACTTCTTGCGTGCTCGTAATGCAGTGCGAAGACTACGAGACCATTCGTCGTAGTTTGTATCACCCTTCAATTTGATATGAGTGATCTGAAGACCAGGATTATCAGAAGAAGTAATATCATAGGGAGAGATAGTTTTGCGCGGAACAATCGCATCTGAAGAAGAAGCCATGTCTCAGTTGATCGAGACGTTCAGTGGAGAGAATAAACAAACAAAGTTTTGTGGGACAACAAATTGGCAATCTCTAAAGTGGAGAGAAGAAGTAAACAAAGTTTTGTGGGAAAAAAAATTGACAACCTGCAGAAGCGTGATTTATTCTTTTTTTTTTTTTTTTCGTTTTTGCTGTTTCGTAAAAAAATTATGAGAGAATGATCTTCTCTGATACCATGTCAAAAGAACAAAATGTGAAACTGATTCATTCAACTTGATGATCAGTGTGGCACAAGGGCCGAGTATATATCTACAAAACGGATCGGAAAATACAAGGAAAGGAAATAAAGAGAATCCCTAAAAGACTACTAATGATCATCCTACCAAAAATACATGATACACCAAATAATACATTAACACAGTTGCCCCGAATATCCGGTTCCAATCCCAACAGCCACTCTGTTGAGCTTTCTGTCGAGTGTTCGTCGTCATCAGCTACCCAGAACTTTCGACCGGGTAACACCTGGTCCCGCTCCTGCGGGTCCCACCAGCTATTCTTCTCTGGATCGGGTTCTGTCAATTCCCCGCCGGTGAATGTGGTCCCCACCGGGAACATCTGCCCTTCCGGAAGGGTCCTGAAAACCGGCATGGCAAGCCGGACCACGAAGCCTGATGTCCTCGGTTCGGGCTCAATGAATTACGGTCATAACAGCATAATGCGGGGTGGCGGGCTTGCATCCAAGCCCGCTTCCAATGGTGGGTCCACCAATAATTACTGGCGAGGGCTCATGATTGGTGGGGATATGGTAAGAAGGAGGAGTGGGGTTTGCAGTAATAATACTGATCCTGAAGAATTAAAAAGGATGGGAAATGACAACTATAAGCATGGACTTTCCGCAGAGGCTTTGACTTTTTACGACAAGGCGATTTCTATTTCGCCGGCTAACTGCTCCTATCATTTCAATCGTGCGGCGACATTGATGGGTTTGAGGCGGTTGGTTGAGGCGGTTAGAGAATGTGAGGAGGCAATAAGGCTCGAGCCAGGGTACATAAAGGCGCACCTCCGGTTGGGATCTTTGTTTCTTAGGTGAGCTTTTGCTGATAAAGTTCAAAACTTAAATGGATGGCCTGATCTTATTCCTTATGCTTGTCACCGTATTACGGTTTTGGAGTTATGTGTATATGTATCCAAATGTAGGATTCTGATTTTAATGTGATGGAAGTGTTTTTCTAGGTTGTGTTAGATCCTGATGATTGATTGTCTTGCGAAATTGTTTTGAGTGGGCTTAGAAATTAGTGCAGGCATTGATCTAAAATTGGGTTGTGTTCAGATTTTTTTTTTGTTGGTCTTCCGGATGTAGTTCAGAATTCCGGTTGGGAATTCGTGCTGAACTGACTGAATTTGCATTCTACAGCTGTGTGCATGCAGGGCAGAAGCTCTCTTGAAGCTCCACCAACTCGATGATTCTTTCTCGGCCATGTCAAATATCCCTAAATCCGAGTCATCCAACAGTCCTCATCCTTCCCAGAAGGTTTTCGAGATGACTTTTGAAGCATATATATTATTCGTTAGAACCCAAGTCGATTGTCCAAGGGAAGGTGAGCTAAGATTGTGTTATTTTGGGCAATCCATGAGATTCAACTAAATTGAAAGATTTAAGTTATGATTGTATTTTTGCAGGTTTGAAAGTGCTG